CAAATCACCATGGAAACTTTTTGCTAAGATGGTATTAAAGAACAGCATGTACACTTAGATCTCTCCTTTTGTAATAGACAGCATTTTTTGATAGAGTCTGGAGTAACTGAGTAAAAGGATTATTTGCAAGTGAGGCACCAGGACTTTCCCAGAACTATTTCAGGATTCTGTTATGCTGCAGAGCTGGCCAGTTGACAGCAAATCTTGTTACACTTGTTTGAAGAGATGAGTGGACAAGTGATTTTACCCAAGTTTGGTAAAGTCAAGCTGATACACACACAGGAAAAACAGATTAGTGAACTGGCCTTAAATCAGTTTATCACCATGAGAAGCTAACTAAATGTTCTCATGTTGTCATAGAACAATCTGGTTTTCAATTCAGGATGGACCAAGCTCACACACTCTATTGAAGTAGTAGTATCTCCTTACCTTCCTTCTTATAAACACCAGGTCTGGTACTGAATAGGGGATCAGCACCTCTCCAGGGTGACACTGTGCTCCTGGCTTCCACAGCACAAGCGTGTCTCAGACTCTGCACTTGGATCTGATTGTCCTTTTTATAGAGGCACAGATGTATTTACAAATAAACCACATTAGGACCCAGATAAAGACATCATGTTCTTCTGTATTAAGGCCAAACTCTAAGAGATCACTCTCATCACTTTGTCTCCTCTGACTTCGCAGAAGAGCTGTGCACAAAACCACAGGGAGAATACAGGAAGAGGTACATTGTCTAGAATCTGTTGGCATAAGCCAGAATATGTTCCTTATTCCCTACAGAATACTAAACAAGTATTTACAAGCATTCTGTTTTGAGGTTTATTATGGTTTTGACATATTCCCGTAGTAATTTCATATGTGTCTGCCAACACTGCATGCCAAACAGACTTCTCTTTTTGTAACTTGATTCCAACATAATGTCTGTCTGTTAGAACCAAAATCATGATTTTTTACTTAGTTGATCATAAATGAATAACAAACTTTGTCAAAAAATTTTACCTGCCTTATCAAAAATTATACTGCAGAAGAAAGTTTGGAAACAGTGTGGATATAATGCTTTTGGCTGTTTAAATGAAGCTGCTCTATTTTTATTATAAATTCTAGATAAGGCAAAAGGAATTTGCAGGGTATTTGTAACCAGCTACATGTCCAGTAAGGATGACACAGAAAAGTCATGTGAGGACTTAATGGCCAGAGTGAGATACATAAATTCAATTTTGATCCTTCACTGAAGAGTTCAAAGAGATCAAAGGTTAAAGCTCACGAAAGGTGAAAATATTTACTTTATTCTGGCCCTGGGAGTTTTGTAGTTGCTGCAGCACTTCATCATAGCTCCTCCATGAGCAAGGCTACCCCGCAGAGCTGGGCTGGGGCCTGGTGGACAAGTAACTCCTAGGGGGATGAAGGTTTCAGTTTCTTCGGGAGCTATCTAGATGCAACTCGGGAAAAGGATTCTGTGGAGTGGGAAAGGAATTGAATCTGGGTTCTCATTTTTGGGCACAAATATGCAGAGCAGTCAACAGGACCTCCTGCCTCTCTTGGGGTCATACTTCAAGAGGAATGGCTGCTGCATCTTCTCTTTCCACTTGGGATCATAACTGGAAAGGGTTGGTGTGAGCCAAGTGCAAAGATTTCTGACCTACCACTGCTTGCTTCCCAGTTGCATCTAGGTAGCTCACTAGTCAGCCTAAAGGGCTTTTCAGCTGATTCAAAAAGCACTAAAAGCTGATGAATCTAAAGCAAAAAACAGGCTTTTGATCTGGCTGTTTGTTTTTCTTTAAATGGATCTGAATATGAGATGTAACCCACATTCTCCAGAGAAACAGAAAAGTGTGACAGTGAGGTTCTTACTTGCTGTTATGTTTCAGTGCCCTCCTTCCACTCCAAAATCAAGAGGCTTAGAGAGCTAATGCACAAATATCAAAAAGCTGAACCATGACTAACAAAACAGTAGGAGTGGTTTACAACATACCTGATATTCAGTGCAATTAGGAGCTGAAGTATCCATTAGCAATCAGAAAATGGACAAATTAGTTTGTACCTAGACAAGCTAAAAATGCTACCATTTAAATGCTACTATTTAATCTTTTGGGTTCTTTTTCCTCCACCCTTAGTCTTAGGGTTGACATTCTCCCACTCTTCTTACTCTGGGATTGCAAATTTGTTCATAGAGGTCCTCTCTCAACAAGACACATCTAATGCCTGTTTAGTCAGGGATGAAAATCCAGTGCTTTTAGCCCAAATCAACTCAGACAAAAGCAACAGCATCTGGCTTCCAGTTCATTCTTGATCTTGATCATTAGTGATGGCTGTCAGACTTCTATATTTTTTTTTCCTCTCACAGAGATTATTCTGTGTGTTTTTGCTATGTCCTCCTGCTCATGTTTAAATATTTGTTGTCTTCCTCTAAGAAGCAACAGAATTTCTAAAGAACAGCAGAATTTTTACAGCTGAGATATTTCATGCAGCTCAATCCACAGGGCATTAAAATAGTTTCTGGTTTCCAAGTGAAGCACTGTGAATTTTAAAATGCCACACATAATGTGAGTGTTCCCAGCAAAGTAGACACTACAGGTTCACTTGCTATTTAAGCTGCTGTACTTATTCAAAACTTGACCTTCTGCTAGTTGGAATAATCAACAGGTCTTATGGGAAGCACTTGGTCTTGGCATGGTCAGTTCCCTTCTGACTGTATTTGGATTAAGAATTCCCAGGGACTGGAGATTTCTCACTGTCAAAACCACATGATTTAAAGCAGTGGAGAAGTGGCACAATGAAAGAAACAGAAGAAGAAATTTTTATCTTTGTGAAACTTTTGACTGCCATGGTAAACATACATTCAGGATAAGTTTTCAGCAAAGCATGTAAATTAACACTGGAAGTTACTTCCTCATGAGTAAGGCCAGCCAGGAATACTTATACACCAGCCAAGCTCCATTTGAAATCAGAGTTGCAGCATCTCAGTTCCCTAATGAAAACGAGCTGAGTTCCTGCACGTAGTTTTCAGGATGTCTAATTCAGCAGGTGACTGCCACTTTCTATCCAGAATAGTCACCTTTCTTCCCCCTGCCCCAGTTATAACACTTTCACAGAACTAGAATGTTCCTTCTGTAAGAATTCAGGTAATTGTTGAATTTTGTTTTTTTAACAAATCTAAACAATTCTATGATCTGTCCCTCCTCATTGCCAAAACTTTGCTGTTCTCTGCCCATATTCTACTTGGGATGCCATGAGATCTTTCAGATCTGCAAAGCTGCATTTGTTCTGCAGGTGACACATACAAGCAATTCTTTAATTCCTGCATGCATTGTTTCAAATCCACTGCAGTAGAAACCACACATGATGCAGTTTTTATTATTTTTTCCCAAACCCACTAAAAGACTAAAATGCACATTCTCATTTGCTGTGATTGTTACAGGTTCTTTTAAAATAATTCTTTCTGGTATGACTGTCCACTAAAGAAAAGAGGAAAAAAACTAAACCACAAAAACCTCAAGCATAGAAAATACAAATATAGCCACTGAAATCACTTTCAATAGCCTTTTCTAAAATGCTACATGTAGCTATATGAGTAATATGACAAGAAGTAACCTTACAGTGGTCACATATTATCACAAAAGGAAACAGGAAAACATATTTTAGTTGGATGATTTAAGGGAGTGGGGCGTGGGTGTGCATAAGGAGAGAGAACCACAGCAGGCAGAGGTGAGCACTGAGCTGACAATGTTTGAGGGGAAGAAAGGCTGAGGGCGGCAGGAGCTGCCTGAAGGCAGCAAAGGAGACAGAGTGTCAGCAGATGGCACTTGGGCTGCAGCACAGCCCACAGCTGGCAGAGGTCCCAGCAAACACACAAAACATTAGGGAGCTGGAAGACTGAAAGGTGTCTGAGGTCCTGGGCCACTGAAAGGTGTCTGAGGTCCTGGGCCACTGAAAGGTGTCTGAGGTCCTGGGCCACTGAAAGGTGTCTGAGGTCCTGGGCCACTTGAGGCAGCCAGGCCATGGAGCTGCAGGTGGGGTCAGGTCCAGCCACCATGATCTGTTCATGACAGAGGGAGATCATTTTTTCCACTGTGGCTCAGACACGTTTCCCTCCCTGGCCTCATCCCATAACTGCCCCAAAGCTGTGAGGGAAATAAGGGATTGAGCCCCAGATCAGTTTTAAGCAAGGTATAATCAGAGCAGGCTACAGAAGACAGTGCTGTCACCTCTCAGCAAGAGCTTAAGAAAAAATCACAAGGCAGAGCAGCTCGCAGTTCCTGAACCTCGTTCCTAGAATTAAGGGGCTCCCCTGAGTCGAGCCCTCCCATTCACAAGAGCCAGTGGTGCCCCACTCTGACAAGTGCCTGGAGCTGTAACCACTGAAAATAGAGGTGGTTATTGTTCTTTGCAGGCACCTGTGCTGCATCCATAAATCACTGTGTGCAGGTACTGTTAATGTTTGCCTAAACTTTCTTCCCTCCTCACTGCCTGCAGAATCCCTCAAGAAATGTGAGGAAACAAACCACTAGAACCTGCTTATTACCTTCCAAAACATATGTGCTGTTTCTATAAGTAAGCATTTGAACCACAGTAACTGAGCCATTAATCTTAAATAAAACTTCTGTTAAAAAAAAAACCCAAACCTATCTCTGTTCCCTGGCAGGGAATATTACAGCTGCTTGCAACTACTTAGACTGAACATTTCCATTTCCAGTGAAGATGCTGTTGGCACTACCGGGCTGAACCCAAAATGTTTTCAAAGCTAGATCAACAAGGTCCATGAATATTCAGGCACTAAGGAATTTGGGCAGCTATCCCAGAAGTGGCAAGACCCAGTGCCGAATCTAAAGTTTTCCCAGCTTTTTGTGTTGGAAACACAGCTATTCAGGTGGCTTTATGCTCTAATGGGAGCATTGAAAACTATAAAACAAATAAACAACTGAAATCATTCTCTGTTGATTAAAATAAAGTATTTTAGCTTTTTTTCGGTCTTACGCAGCTAGTAACAGTGCTGCCCCTCACCAAGCTGCACACACTATTGTTCAGCACCTGCTGCTTTTCCATCCCTTTGGAGGAGAACTGTTGCTTTGCTCTTCCCCCTCATGAGCAGTAATGCAAGGGGACAAAGCTGGCCAGGGGCTGTTTTCTGAAGGGCTCAGGTCACAGACAGCATTTGTTCTCTCTGCCACAGCTCAGGGTGGAGCTGGGAAAGCAGGTATGACGGCCACAGATCCAGGCAGAGTGGGAGGGAAGCAGAAGAGGAGGAGCATGTGGAAGCTGAGCTGCTGCTGCTCTGCTGCTGCTCCAAGCTCCCAGGGCAGCCTCATCCTCTGCTCTTCTGGCACAGACTTTTCTCTGCCACATCAGCACCAGCTGCCAAACTGGATGTCTCCTCTTGGATGACACAAATTCCTCATCTCTTTTTTTTTTTGCCAGTCCCTGGAATAAACTGCACCAGAGACAGAGAGAACTCGGAAAAATAATCTGAAGACAATTAAGACAATTACTCCTCAAAGGAAAGACAGAGCATTGGAAAAGGCAAAAGTTCACCTCTGGCCACCCCTACCAAACACAGACATACCTATCAGCAGTCAGGGCTGCAGTGACTATTCCTTGCCTGGCTTCATGGAGGAGCAGGAATACAACTTTGTGCTTTCCTTTGGAGCCAACACCAGCAAGTGCAGCCTTGAGACCAACCAAACAGAGGTCCCAACATGCTGGGCAGGAGCAACCAGGGGCGGCCCAGAGGTGGTGATTGTACCAGTGCTTTTTGGGTTGATTTTTCTCCTGGGAATGGTGGGAAACACGTTAGTGTTGGTTGTTTTGGGCCGTCTCCGTCCTGGGGGACGCCCATCGCGCAGTGCCACCAACATCTTCATCCTGAACTTAAGCATTGCAGACTTCTCCTTTCTGCTCTTCTGTGTTCCCTTCCAGGCCACCATCTACTCCCTGCCAGAGTGGATTTTCGGTGCCTTCTTTTGCAAGTGGGTTCACTACTCGGCCATGGCAACGATGCTGGTCAGCATCTTCACTCTGGTGGCCATGTCTGTGGACAGATACATTGCCGTGGTCCATGCCAAACGCTCGCCCTGCATCCGCAGCAAGCGCAACGCCGTCCTCGGCGTGGCTGTCATCTGGCTGCTGTCTCTCCTCATTGCCATCCCCGTGGCCCAGCACCAGGCCCTCATGAGTGGCCATCAGCAGGCTCCCAACAGCTCTTTCTGCTGGGAGCACTGGGCAAACGGCTCCACAGCCAAGCAGATGTACAAGATTACCATCCTGCTGGTGGGATATCTCCTGCCCCTGCTGCTCATCACCTGCTGCTATGCCAAGGTGGGTGCCAGGGATGGGAATAATTTTTAATGAAGGGAAAGATCCCAGACTCTTGGTGGCTTGTGTGTGTACACAACTACACAGCCAACCTGTTCCAAATCCTCTCTTGGTAGAGAATACTTTTTTGAGGTGGGGGGTGGAAAGAAAACAGAGAATGAAATTACACCAGCTCACAAAAAGGGTTACAACTACCATGATGACACCCAGCCTGTTACTCAAACCCCCTAAAGACTCTTGCTGTTTTTCATGCTTTTTATTTTGTTAAATAACAAATGTTTGCTACTGACATGAAGAAAAACCTATGAAGAGATAAACATTTCCAGGTTATTGCTGTGCTGTAATCAGTTTTCAAAAGCTACATCTAGATGTTGTTAATTGAGAATTGCCTACAATGCTCCAACACTCCTTACGACCCTCCCTCTGGAGGGTGACCCACTCCTGCCATTGCATTTGTTTGTGCTGCCTGCAAGAGCAACAGGACAGTCCCACCAGGGTACAGGACTGGCAGCCTGCTCTCTGCCCATGTGTATCATCAGCCTGGGGAATAAATGAAGATAATCTGAGCCTTAACATAAAATTCAGAGTCCATCTGAAAACTCCTGTGGATTTCAGCATTGTGCAAGCTGAGCTCTTAATATATGTTGAATTACTGAAAGCCTAGCAGGTTTAATGCTCTTTCCAAACCTTGTTTCTTGAAAGAGAAATGGGAGAGCTTAGAATTAAAAGTCTGAAACATCAAATTCATCTTTGAAGTCATGTTAAAACAATTACTTCAAAATTTTGGTGCTTGTAGGATAAGTTCAAGTATTAATACATAAATTTCAATTTTCCATTCAATATATTGCTCCTTTTCCCCCCCCAAGGTTTTATACCATCTCCACAAGAAAGTAAAGAACATTTCCAAGAAATCAGAGAGATCAAAGAAGAAGGTAAATATCTTTGGTTTAATATAATATCTTTGGTTTGTGTATATTGACTATATGCAATAGATATACCAGGTTTATAAAGTAATCAGCCTGGTCTGTGGTTATTCCAGCTGATTTAGAGCCGTTACAGCTTCTGCCAGTCCTTTTTGCCTGTGAATCCCTACCAGAGTTAACTGAAGAATATATGTAATTTCTAGTTCATTACATTCACTAGCATACACTCAGTTTTGTTAGCAATATACTTATGAGGACCAATTCATAATTGTTGTTCATAATTCTTGCACCTACACAGTCTGTAAGGATGGTATTCAAAAGGTATTTGCAATATTACCTTATAACACAATAACTGCCCAAGTTGTAATACACCACAAACAATATTTATTAGACAGGTGTTACTTACCCTTTCCCCTCAGATGAAAGGGTTAGTATGTTTTGAGCATATTTTCTGTGTTCATCTAACTTCAAGTATGTTCTGATAAACATTCTTTTCACCCCCTTTTCTAAGGGAACACATTGTGCAGCAATGAGCTGCTGTGTATTGACTGCTGCAGGAACACCACCAGACCTAGATGGCACAGACTACCTCGAAGAGCACCATGTCTTATTTTGCCTACTGACTTTTTGATAAATGTTGATGCTGCTGCAGATAGACTGTGAATTAAAATGTCAAAACCAGGAGTATAATTTCTGGATCAATAGTGCAGACTAGAAACAGAAAGCTGAGTAAGAGTTTTGTGTGTTTAGCAGCTATTATGAGAAAAGGCGAGCAAGATGTGTTGACAATTTTGATAATGTGAAATGAAGCAAATGAAGTGCTAAGAAGCACTGTCATTCCACATAGAATTGTTTCACAAGTTTTAAAAATTGCTTTAGGTCTCAAAATCACCAAAAGTCCCTAAACTGGTTGGTTTAAATTTCCCTCCAGAATTTCCTTACTTATGTATGAATGGCAAACTACCTATTTTGTTGCTAATTATTAAGAGAATGCTATCAACAGTTGAAAATAACTACTGTTACTTTCCTGTAAAGAAGTTAAGAATTTAATTTATGACATTTTCCAAATGTATCCACTTGTTTTGTTTTCAGATTTGCTCTGTAGAGTCTGATGAGAAAATAGCTCTGCAGTTCCTTCAATCTCAAGTTTAGTTATTAGATATTGTCAAGAGGATCAATTTCTTAAAAACCCTTTGATTTTAGCTGTTTAAGCAAGTTAGAGGTCCAGCACTTCTTCCTCCCTCCCCTTAAGTATTTTCCTGGCCATAATTGTGAAACACCCAATAGCGATTCTTGTTCCATATAGCACAGTCAGAGCTAGTTAAATGGGTGATCCTTTCAGATAGAAGAAAAATTAAATACATTCCTCTCCACACACACATCATCCTTCACAATATGTTTTCTTCCAGCCCTGTCTCTGCCAAAATTGTCCATCTAGCCTTCCTGCGTGCCAAACATCCTCTTTAGTGTACTTACTTAAAGGGGTTTTCTGTTGCAAACACTACTCAACATTTCTTAGGGAGACTTCCTTGGGTTGGTTGCAGACACACTCAATTCTTGTATATGCTTTTAAAGCATTCTTGAAACATGAGAGTGAGAGCCAGTTTTTTAAAGCACACCTTCTTAAGAACACTTCACGTTAGAGCCTAATGGGAAACTCAAGGATGGCTGTCAGTTCTGTTAACCTAGCTTCCTTCATATGTACTTACATTTGTGCAAGTAGCTGTGTTTGAGTTTAATTCATAAACTTCATCAGGGATTTAGTAAACAGCTTTTGTTTATTTAACTGAAAAATGTCTGACAAATGAATCTTGATCCACATTAGGAAGGTTAATTTAGTACATACAGAACATTGAGCTTGTTCTGAAATATGTGTGACTTCAGTGGCTAAACCCTGATTGCCTTGAGCTGTGGGAGAAAGTGTAGCACAACAGCCAAGTCTTCCCACCTGAGGTGATAAAATTGTCTGAGTCACATCTGTTAGTTCACAGTGTGTGTCTTCACCAAACTGATATGGAAAACAAGGTGTCATATTCATAAAAATGAGGATAGTCAGAATCTATGACCATGCAGTTCCTGTTTCACTCTTGTAATTCCAAGAAAACAGGGCGTTTGAGCTATTATCTTCCTTTTACCTCCAAGAGAATGGAGTTTGGGTTTGCTCTTTTCGGGTTTTCCAAACCTTTGGGTTTGGTTTGGGTTTTTTCTGTTTGTTTTGTGAGTTTAGTGTTGTTTTGTTTTTAAACACTTAAATAGTAAATTTTGCAAAAAGCTTTTTGTTCAAATCTCCCAATGCTCATCTGGGCTCCTTACACGAGTAAAGGTCTCAAAAGAATCAAATTGCAGACTCAGAGTCCTTGTTGGACAAGATTTTCCAGTGAAACAGTTGCCAACATTACCACTGCAAACAGTTTGCTCTCTCACTCAACATTTCAGAAGCTATAAGAACTATCCTCAAGATTGAGCTACTTCAAGATAAAACATAGTTAAGAAAGAAAGCAAATGGCATAGAGCTCATAAAATGCTGCTTGCCATAAGCAGCATTCCACTTGCTGACTGGAAACACATTGCTATTATTCTCCATTATAAGCTGCTTCTGAAAAAACAGTATTACCAGGTAAGATTTTTTTTAAATGTCAAGACTTATTTCAGGATCTTTAGCTTTCATTGACCTTGCTGGAGTCTTGGTTCCTCCCCAGTCCCAGATCCTATAGTGCTGATAACAGGCAGAAGAGATATCATTCTTACTCACATCATTTGAGACATAAAATACAGTAAGAAACATTACTGGGACAAATCCAAGTTAAAGCCAACTGAAAGGTCACAGAGGAGCTGGTATTTCATCTGCTATTAGTACACCCTTGCACAAAGTCTGCTGCATCGTGACTTCACATTCCATTATCAGAAGAATTTGACCCTTAATTCAGATTCCCACTTTGAAATTTTTATGTAACTTTGCCATCTACATGTCAAATGTTGGACATGCTCAATTTAAAGTGCTTTTCCATCTGTATCATCAGTGCATTAGAGCAAGGAGGATGTTTAGAACATTTTGCATGCCTAGGCTGAAATTCTGTATGAAGAACTAAGACTGTGCCTACAGAACAGAGACATGACTGGCTGCTTCCCCATTTAATGCCATACTAGCTGTACAAGTTTGCCAGCCTTGAAAATCAGATGGTGTGGTGCTGCAGGATTCTCCTTTGAACTTTTGGATAATTGTTTTTTGAGGCCAGCCAGCAAGACCACGTGCTAAGACATTCTTTGCAGCCCTCTATGACAATTAAATGTATTTCAGTTCTGTCACCTCTTTTCTGAACTGTGCAAAGTATAGCAAGTCTGTAATTTGGCTCCAAAGAAAGTTAACAATTCCCTGTCTGACAGTGTTGCAAAATGTTTCATAAGAGCCCAGCCCCAGGAATTCTCATCTTACATCTGCCTTAAATAAGGTGATTTAATGATGGAAATTAATGCAAACTAAGGTTTAGCATGGCCCTGTAGTGTTTTACTGGCCTCTGGAGCACACCAGGGTTCCTCAGTGTTTACTCAGTTCTGTACTGAGCATCTTTAAAGAACAAATAACAAGCTTTGCAAACCGAACAATCTGAAATTCTTTTTCAAGTTTAAGAATGTGTCTGGGGATGTGAATTTCACAGCTATTTTGCAAGCTCCCTTGAATGGATAGTAGGAGTTGTGTGACCTTGAGGCCAAAAACTTCAGTTAACAGACCAAATGAGCCACTTAAAGATAAAAATTAGTACTATGCTTTTCTATTGGTTAGCTACAATAGAAAGGTGAGCCTGGTGCTTACCTGGTGGGTAAGTAAATCAGCTGTTCATTGCTTCCAGAGCTAAGTAAACACAAAGACACATGGAGTTTATTTATCCCTGGAGTGCTGCACTTTGAAGGTCATACAAGAGCCTGAGGTAAAAGATACAGAATTCCTGCAAGGTAGATGGGTATTCCTGAACATCTTGGCCAAGAGAGGCAGATAAATGTTGCTCTGTGACTACTTTCCTGTAGCTAAAGGAATTATTTGGCTATTGTTCATGCAAATTGAAGTTTTTCATGTAGACAATGAACATGATGTTCAAGGCCTTGGCATTTGAACAACAGTAAATACAGCAAAGGAACATGGAAGATCCTGGGATCCACTGAGCAGAAGAATATAATTCAGAAGTGTCATCCTGCACATTGTTTGATTAACAGGAGCCCAGGGCAGCAGGAATTAAGAGCATCATTACCAATTAGAGAGTAATAGAAATATCACAATGCTCATACACATTTATGAATATAAAATTAATAAATTTCAAGGGCACCAACAGAGGAGATTAGAAGCATAATCCCAGAATGAGAGATGCGCAGATGAGCAGCTGGAACAGTGTAAGCAAGCTGCTGGGAAATGAAGAGCCCCTCTTAGCACATAAAGCAAGTAATCAAAATGAGCTGATAACATCTGCAAATATATTTACTTCATTCCCTCCTCTTTTTCATGACATCCAACTGCCATCTCTGGCTCCAAGAAAGAAGACAGAACAATAAAAAAGAATACTCTCAGTGTGGTTTTTAGATCACTGAAGAGTAGAATTAGACTCAAGTGTAATTAAAAAAAAGACCAAAGGGCAATGAGAAGTCCTTCAGTAATAATTAAAAGATGCATGTGCTCCGAAGTATAGACAGCTGCTATCTAACATTTAAGTTACCTAAGAATAGGTATGCCATTTTCTAAACATTTTGCATTTATCACTAAGCTATGGGCATGTTTCTGGAGATCAGATTGTGCTTGGGACCTTTCTGTTAGAATTTTAGGTGCAAAAAGGAAAAGAATGTTTGCAAATCCATCAGGGCAAGTCAGATTTGCCAACAAAGCAAACAAGAATGTGACACCAGGAGTGAATGAACTGGCAGTTTTCACTTTGAACATTGTCTCACAGATGGACTCTGAGCACAGGGATTTTCTCCATTGGGTATCCCTGAGTGTAAAGCCACAAAAACTGTCTTCCTCAGAGGTTGGCAAGTTCCTCCAGCAGTACAATGGTATATTGCACTAAGCCACATGTCTTTCCTGGGCACTGATACTGGGTACCTGCAGTATCTAAAAACAAAAGCTTAAGGCGCCGTGGGTCACTACATATTTTCCAAGTCTTCACTACAGTAAATTACAATATATAGCAAAGTCTGTAACTCTGTAGTTTACCATAATGAAGTCTGGGGCAGTAAAAATGTGCACCAATTGTCCCTCAAACTTTAAGGAAAAGAATCTACAAGTTAGAGATGAGCATATCAGGAGAAAAGATTTATCAGTAAATCACATAATCAGATATCCTCCTACAAAGCAGTAATAAAGAAAGCGTCAGTTGTAATTTGCTGCTAAGACAGTGTGGAAGAACTGGCATAGGCTTCTTTATGCTTCTTCATTTAGAATTATGGAAGAATAAAGGATGAAAAATAATCTTACCATATTCAGGAGACAGCAGTTTTCTCACTAATGAAGCCCAGTTTGTCTGCAAGCTAGTTCTTTTTAATAAAAACCTAATTGAATGTTCTTTCCCATTTCTGTGTGGCTGAGGTACACAGTAGAAATGGATGGAATGATCAGCTCTGAAAAATGATGTGCAGCTGGGCTGTCTCCACCTGGGACTAAATTAGGAAAGTGACAAGCCCTCTACCCCTCCAAACTGTTTTGTCCACTCTATATTTTAATCTCAGGAATGTTTATTAATCTAACATTCAGGTGGTTCTTCCTAAAATATGTAAATCCATGGAATACTTGAAGCATTTGACTCATTACAGGAAATCTTAATTTTGCCCTTGACAAGATGCCTGACAAGTTGAAGCAAAAAACTACATTAAAAGCTTATCAAGAACAACAGCTCTAAACACAATTAAATGTTAAATACTTCATCATCCTCCTAAATGAGGTGTCTCACTCAAAATGCTTTTTAAACACATTTTCCAGTGCTTTTTGAAGGATAGGGGTAGGCTAAAAGCAATAAATAGTTTGTCCAGGGACAGGGAGAAAAGTAATCAAAGGGCAAAACAGACAAAGAAAGGCTGGAAAGCATAAATGAGAGGCAGATGACCTACAAAGATAACAAATTAATAAGCAAGTAAATACAATACAATCTGCACATGACAGAAATTGGGGGGGGGGGGGCGGGAATAACAGAATTTCCTCTAATTATCTGACAAAGAAAAATATCCCCTTGACTTTGTCACCATGCTATTGATTCACTGTACAGCTTAAACACGCTTACTTTGCCTGTACAACAAATACACTGTAAGTTATATCCTGGAGTCCTGGAGCTGCTTGGAAGACTTCTAGGCATAGTAAAAGAGACTTAAGTGGCCAGTAGTGGCCATTGTACATATCTGTTAGGGACTCATCAAAATTTCAGAGTTGAACCAGAAGGTTGCATTAAGTGGGGACAGCTTGATCAACAGTAATGCAGTAACTGTGCAAATTATCACAGGTCATGGGAGAAGCTCAAACAGTACACAAACTATTTTAATCAGTCCTCCACAGCCAGTAACAGTAGTTTAGGTACAGCAAACACCACATTAAAAGCCAAACAGTGTTTTGTTTCAGTTTCTTCTGTCTTAACTACATATTCCCTAACTTTAAAAAACAGACACAAGTTCCATTTCAAAACCTGTTTCTTGAGTCATGAATTATGTACATTAGTGCTCTAGTATTGTCTGTGTTTTCCATCTGCAAAATCCTAAAAAACTGGAGCCCAGAAACAGCTCTGTGCTGTTACACAGCAACTGCAAACCCATTGTTTAATACTCAGCCCTACATTAAATGCACAGTTTGTTTTTTCACAATAAAAGGGGGGGGGGGGGGAATCTAGGTATATAAGCCTTATTCAAAAGAATATTTCAGTGCTTGTAGCCCCCTAATGTAAGCAGATGGATGCTGTGAAAGGTTGCCTGGGTAACAAGCCTAAGCTGCTTAACATTGCTGGAGGGTAAAGAAGTAGCACCATTATTGCTGGTGAAAGCTAATGATGGGACCTGCTTATGAATCATTTCTTTGGTACTCATACCACAGTGGCTGAGCTAGACCCCACAAGACCACTAGGTCTGTGTCTTTCAGTCTCATCAATTTCTAATCATTCCAGTCTATTGTTATGGACATCATCTGACTCCCAGCATGGTTGGTTTGAGGACACTTGCCAGGGTAGTTTGTTCACTCCTAGGGGAACATCTTTGTTAGCTCAGCTGTCTGACAGAATTCTGGTAGGTGAAACAAGGAAACACCTGGAGCATGCCAGGTACACAATGAACCTACAGGTTATTGCCTTTCAAAGTTAATATAAACTTATTTGAGAGGCCTATTTGACAGAAATCCTTTTTTTTCAACTTGTATTGTAGTCTTTATCTAACACAATAACACCTTCCTTAGAGAGATTAATGGGTTTAACCAAATGTAGCCATGATAACCAACGACTAAACAAATTTCTATTCACTAGAAAATTATCCCTTTTCTAGGAAAGTAATTTTACACTATTCACTTGAAATCATGAAAGAGAATTATTGACAGAAACATTGACCTAGACTAGTGACGCTGTAAATCTTGACCTGAAGTGAAACCTGAATTTAAATTTTTCTCCATTGCTTTTCTGCTACCTGTGCAACAATTTTCCTTAGGGGAAGTATATCATCTGCATGTTTGCAAGTTGTTACATTTATTAAATGACCGAATAGAAATGAGAAACACTAAATACCAAAGTTAAAAAGCAGACATTGTGCAGAGAACAAAGTGGGGCAAGAGGAGGGAAGTCACTAGCTGTGCATCTGCTACAGAGCCCCAAAACTGAGGGATTAAATACAAAACAATTGCTCACCTTGCATTACCATTTGTAATTTTGAAAATTCATGAAGTCAGGTGGAATTAGCCCTACAAAAATATCAGGAAAGGATCTTAGAACTCCCAAGTCAGTAATCTCTGAGACTTGCTAGGCATTCACGGAGTGTTCTAGAAGTAGCAAGTGAGAGAAAAGCAACACTACCAGCTTTCCTAAACTTGGAAAGTGCGGTCCTGCTCCCACAGGCCTCAGGGTCTTACAAAAAGAAAGTTGAAGTGAGTTACAGCTTAATTTTATTTACTGTCACTGTTAACCTTCATTTTGTATGGAGATTTTGAAGAACACTGTTTTCAGGAAAATTTTACATCAGGTCAAGCTTTGGGACTTACAAATGACAGACTGTGGCACAGGCTGGCCAGCTAACTGGGGAGCAAGCACTGCAGGGGCACACCTCTAACCCAGGCAGCACAGGCTGGGATCCCACAGGCACAGGGAGCCTCCCCCAGGTCATTACCCAGCTAGGAATAAGTCTAACCAATGAGAACTGTGTATTTTTAAAAAAAAAAAAAAAAAACTCTATGCATTGGTTTTCTGGGATTCTTCTGTAATAGGGAAGATACTGGAAAAACCTTTTCCTCAGGCCAGCCTTTGTTACTCCTCTCAGTGGTGTGCTTACTTGCAAGTTGTTTTCCCCTGCAGTTATTTTCAATAGCCTCAATGTTCATCCAAATATTAGGAAATATTATTTCCACTCTTCCTTGTAACACAGCATTGTTGCAGCCTTTGAACTGTTTGAAGTTTTACAGTCACTACCTTAAATTTCCATAGTTATTTGTTTGAATCAAAATCAGTCAATCCGAGTTTATCAGGGTTTTTAGCATCCTTTTTCATATTGTCATTCTTTGCCCACCTGGCAGTTGTCAGTGTTGCCTGTATTATGCTGCCTTCACTACTGACAGAGGAAAGCAAACTCACTCATTCCACACACTCCCTTGCTCTGTGACCATTATTTTATATTATCATGTATTAACACGATCTTCTCCTCTCCAGACAGCGCAGACAGTGCTTCTCGTGGTTGCTGTGTTCCTGCTCTCCTGGCTGCCACACCACATCATCACCATGTGGGCAGAGTTTGGGCACTTTCCCCTGAACAACATCTCCTTCACCTTCCGCATCATCTCTCACTGCTTGGCCTACGGGAACTCTTGCATCAACCCCATCCTTTACGCTTTCCTGTCGGAGAATTTCCGCAAGGCCTGCCGCCAAGTCTTCACCTGCAAGCTCTTCCTGCGGCCGGCAGCCGCTGAGAAACTGGCCAGAGTGCGCATGGAGAATTTCTCTACTACACACTCCACCACAAACGTGTAAGCTGGGCTCACAAACACGTTTCAGGAGGAAGAGGAGGGAAGAGGGTTCTGTCTGGGGAGAGTACGCATGCAAGTGCATCCCAGGGAGTCTGCAAAAGTGTGCACTGTGCCAGGTTACTGGAGTGATGGGAGACACATTTCCCTCTCACTGTGATGATATGGGACAGAGCCTGTCCTAGGGTACCTTGCTAGACACTGGGCTATGTGCAACAGAATTACCTGAATGCCCATAAGATAGAGCCCAAATGAAGTCGTAGTTATGACCACACAGAAGGTAGAATATGAAACAGAGAAGACAGCAGTAAATTACATCTGTAGACAGTCATTGAGATGTGAACAATGTGACATTCAGAGAGCAGTTTGGGAGAAGTCAAACTAAAGTCTTTGGATGTCTTTGTTTCTTCAACAAATTTGACTGTGTGTGAGCTGCATACACATTTAGCTCACTACTGGGGGTAGAGTCTCTAAATCTCCTTGAAGGCTTTGATGTAGGATTTACCTATTGGGCAAGTACACCTTTCACATGATGTGTCAGTGGCATGGCTGTCTGTATTTGGTGGCTCTACATCAGCTTATACATCCCAGAGTTGAGTGTCTGTGTGCTCCTGTGTGTAATTACTGCTGTTAATCACCAGGACCTGTCTCTTGGTCTCAGCAACCTCACTGTCTCAGCCACAATACAACAGATGATGTGGTATTTCTCAATGTATGCTTAAAAAAATTGTGATTTTGTTTGAAAGTACTGTCTACAAAAGGTTTTGTTGGTAAATACAGTGTTCTCTTGAGTCAATCTACCAAAGGCTTTTTATTAGCCACTTTAGTATATAAATGCCTGGAATTTGTGATGAGGGTTTGCTTGGTTTTTTGTTGGTTTTTTTTTTGACGAACTCTTGTGATCAACAGTGCTCTAGCAACAGGTAAGGGCATTTATACTAAGTTCAAGGTTACTACTTGTAACTATATAAAGTGCATATTACTTCAAAAATAGGAAGCAAATGGCTGAATTTAATTATTTCACTGTGTCGTCCAATTCAGTATTTCTGTGTGCTGCAATCCAGACTGACCTGTCTATAAACTGTAAAAATGTGTGTTACAGACGTTAAATGACATATTATTTGCTGTCCTTGCAATGAATGGGTCTCCAGTCTCCAAATGGATCACTCTTTCAGTATATTTCCATAACTTGGGAGCTGTTGTATTGAATAATTTTACTGCAGTTTGTAACTTCCTTTAAGAGCCCCCTAACTGTGCAATATGAACAGAGCATGTGTACAATAAGATAAAGTCATTACCTGATCCTAGCTGACTATTTATGCAAGTTTTCTCTTTAACTTTTATTCTCAGTATACTGAGAATACCTCCAGTGAATTATTTCCTTAGCAATTAGATTTAGATCAAATGCTGTGATCTTCTGATTTACCATAATGTAGAAATCGAATATTTCTACATTCCCAGTGATTGCACAGCCTAAAGTGGAGAGCAACCACTAAAAGAAAGGGTTGTGGCAAATCACTGCAACAGAAATCAAGCTAAAATGCTTATTTGTGTGATTATTTACCACAGATACAAACTAGCAGCGAGATATGTAATAACCTCAGCCTCACTTCAACTCTCTTGGTTTGAAGCACAACAGGACAAAGGCACACCATTCAAAAGAAATCCTACACTCAGACTGTACCATGAGACTCACTAGAACCTGTAAGTCAACACACTTATTTAACATGAAACATCTTTCTGTGTGCTGGGGGTGAGGTTTTTTTGGTTTGTTTACAGACAGTCCAGAAACTGTACAAGTCACTACAGTATGCAGAAAAAAATGTACAGGAAACACTTAAAGACTTTTTATTTAATATAACATGAAGGAGCAAGATCCCATTTCTCAGTGAAAGGTAACGATAAAATAACAAATTAAGGCTCTGAAAGAGTCTCAAGCATTATTGTGCCTTCTCATTCCCACTGTAGTTTACAGGTACCCAGTCTAGAGTTCTCTGAATGAACTGCTACACCACAAAAAAAATCAAGTATCCTTTGTCCTTTAGTTCCTTGTGTCTGTAACTAGTCAGGTTTTTTCTCCTGCCACAGCAGCAATTTTTCAGTTTTAATAACTAATGTTAGCTGATGGTGGTGGGCAGTAATGAAATAGAACTGTGTATCATACAAACATACTCATTTAGATTTGAATTTAAATTATGTCTCAAAATAAGTAAACCAAATCAACGGATGAAGTAATTTTGCAATATTCTCCAAAAGCACTCACTAGTTTCCTTTGGGAAAGCCACATGTTGTGATGGTTGTGCAGACGAATACTGCAGCTTCCAGAACAGTGCACAAAGTTAACCTGATCACCTGGTTCTGACACTCAACTCTATTCTTTCAACCTGCCTTACACACAGCAGCTCATTCACTCTGCCTTAATGGCCTCAAGGCAAGCCCCTACCAGGGAATGCCTGGCAACCTGAATCAACCTCCTTTAGGTGAAGGTTTATTAATAGAGTCCATTCCTGGGAGACCTGTCCTTTTCCGGGCGGCAGTCTCTATTTTCCGTACCAGGTCCACGTCCCATCGATGGGTGACAAAACTAACCACAGCTCCAGGTGCCTTGCTCCCAACCCGGCCAACTCTCCCGGCTCGGTGCAGGTAGTCCTGCAGGGTGTCTGGGAAGTCATAGTTGACCACTAGCTGCACACTGCTGGTGTCCAGCCCCCGCGAGGCAAGGTCAGTGCAGACAAGGACAGACACATCACCCTTCTGGAAAGAGGCAAAGATGCCAGCTCTAGCAGCTGCCGACATCTGCCCCTGCAGCCTCAGGTGCTTGATTTTGTGGTCGTCCAGGATGTAGCCCAGCCAGTTGACGGTGCTGGCGCTGTTGCAGAAGATGAGAACGGCCCCGCCAGATGACGGGCGCTCCTTCAGCAGCTGCAGCAGTTCGGGCAGCTTGTCCCGGCCTTTGAGGCGGACAAACTTCTGCTGGACGTGAGGCGGCAGGCGGTGCAGGCTCTGGGTGCTGAGGGTGACAAACTGGCCCACGTCAGTGAACTTCGCTAGGGTTTCGCTGAGCCCCGCGGGGAAGGTGGCTCCGACCACCACCACCTGCGTCCTCTCCTCGTCGGGCCCGGCTGGCCCGGGGGCGCCGGCGGCCAGGGGCGCGTGTGCCAGGATCTCCTCCAGCAGCTCCGTGAACGACTCGTCCATCAGCAAATCCGCCTCGTCCAGCACCATCCAGCGCAGCCTCTCCAGGGCCAGGAAGCGCCGCCGCAGCGCCTCCCGCAGCGCGCCGGGGGTGCCCAGCAGCACGGCGGGGCCCGGCGGCGGCGCCCGCAGCTGCCTCCGCAGCCCGCCCGCGGCCCCGCCGCCCGTGAGGCCGCGCACCGCCAGCCCCGCGGGCGCGCACAGCGCCGCCGCCACCGCGCCCACCTGCGCCGCCAGCTCCCGCGACGGCAGCACCACCAGCCCGCGGGGCGCCGCCGGGCCCGCCGCCTCCGCCGGCGCTTCGGGGCGGCCGAGCAGGCGCTCCAGCAGCGGCAGCAGGTACGCCAGAGTCTTCCCGCTGCCCGTCTCGGCGGCGCACAGCGCGCTGCGGCCGCGGCGCAGGGCGGGGATGGCGAGGCGCTGCACGGCCGTGGGCCGGCCGATGGAGAGCCGCTCCAGGCCGGCCAGCAGCGCCGGCTGCAGCCCCAGCTCGGCGAAGGTCGGGCCCTGTCCCGCCTCAGCCGGCGGCGCCTGCAAGGCGGGAGCCGCCTCCTGCGAGGGCTCCAGCTGGAAGTAATCCCCGTACGCCTTCCGGTGCTTCCAGCCCGCCGACACCAGCGGCGGCTGCTCCCAGCGCCCCACCGTCTGCCAGCGGGGCTGGCTCAGCTCCGGCCGCCGGCTCCGTAGCAGCAGCTTCCCGGAGCGCGGCGCCGGCGCCGCCTCGCCCTGCTCTCGCCGTCGGCGCTGCGCGCCCCGCTGCAGGCGCTGCCGCAGGGCCCAGGGGACGCGCACCACGGCCCCGGGGGGCTGCGGGCTCCCCGCCGCCGCCGCCGTCCCGCTGCTCGCCGGCCGCCGCGGCAGCAGCAGCGGGAGGGCGAGCACCGGCCCCGCCCGGCCCAGCGCCATCGCGGCCCCCACGCGGGGCGGCGGCGCTGCCCGATGACGCCTGAAAGCGGCGCCGGCCCCGGTTCTCCCCGCCCCGCAGAGCCGCGGCGGAGCCACGCCGGGAGGGTGAGTGCGGCGGGGGTGCCGCTCCCTTCGTTCGCCCTTTTCCGCTGCCGGCGGAGCGCCTTCCCCGCGCCGCCGCCGCGGGAGCAGTCGCGGCCCCCAGGGGCTGTGGCAGGGGCGGCGCGGGGCCCTCGCTCGGGAAGGAGCCGGTGTGGCGGGGCGCATCCCCTGCGCACTCACGCTGGGCGAGCCCGGTCCCAGCTACCCGGCGAGCGCGTCACACCTGGCGGGCACCGCCGCCTGTGTTTCCCAGCAAAGGACTCGCCTGTGTTTGCGGCTGGGAAATGACAGTCCGTGGCAGTCCCCCTGGGCTCTCTCTTTCAGGTGGTACAGCGACAGGAATGACGGTGAACACCCCGCTGTGCTTTAGAGGAAAGAAGATCCTGGCTCCAATGGTGCGAGTGGGGACACTGCCAATGCGTCTGCTTGCTCTGGACTATGGTGCCGATATCGTGTACTGTGAGGTATGGAGAAGGAGCAGATGAGGCGGTTTTATCTGATAACGTTATTATTAAGGAAAGTACAAATGGACAATTTCATTGTATGACTTGTTCTTTTTACACATAGTTTTCCATTAAAAATGAGGAAAGAAGAATCTCTATGTCTTGAGGTGTTTCTCTGAGCCATTCTCAAGTTATGGTAAATCCGTATTTTGAGGCTGTTCAGTAACTTTGAGTAATTAGAACAAAACACCGTAACAATTTCCTCAAGTTGTGCTTTTGGGGGGGTAGGTTTTGTTGTTGTTGGGGCTTTTTTGTATTTTGTTTCAGTAGAGTCAGAACTTTGAAGACTGACTCCATGTCTCATCTGGTTAGTTCTGCTGTGCCTCCATGTATTTCACTCATAGCATTGCTCTCCTTGTTTCTTAAGCACTTTTTTTTAAGCTGCCTGAAATTGAGGTGTGGGGTCCTCAGCACAAGAACTATGTGGACCTGTTAGAGTGCATCCATGGAGGCCACAATGTTGATCAGAGGGCTGGAGCACCTCTCCTACAAACACAGGCTGAGAGCTGGGATTGTTCTCTCTGGAGAAGAGAAGGTTCTAAGGAGTCTTTGCTGAGCCCTTCCTGTACTTAAAGGGGGCTTTTTAAAAAGAGGGAGAGGAACATTTTACAAGGACAGATAGTGATAGGATGGGGGGAACTGTTTTAAACTGAAGAGAGTTGAGCTTTAGATTAGATATTAGTAAGAAGTTGTTTAACCAAAGTGTGCTGAGGTACTGAGACAGGTTGCTCAGGTAAGTTGGTCTCTCTAGATAATTACTTAATAAAATGGGGAACTGTTTAGAGCTGATTGGTTGAAACAATTTAACTCACTGAGATTTTTTTATTCTTTCTACTCAGGAGCTGATTGACATAAAGATGATGCAGTGTAAGAGGGTTATAAATGGTAAGTATGGCATTTATTTTGATAATGCCTGTGAGAAGTCTCTTTTCTAGTTAAAAGAAAGAGTAATTATTTCTCTGAAGCATTTTTCTGGTGATTATAGGGAGGTATCAGTACATACAATCTCACTGAATTGTGTCTAGGGGTTTCCAGTAAGCTTCTGAAGTGCTACCTTAGACTTGTCTGCTACTCTATAGTTTCAAACTTTCAGTTTGTTTGGACTGCAGTTTCCAGTCATGTGTCTTTTTAAAGTTAGCTGTTTGTGACATGATAATATAAACACCTTTTAGTCTACTGCAATAAGGAAGCAACACATAGAAGACCTTACTATTTATCATCCATTTATTAACTTGAAGTCCATGGGCTGGACTTGCAATAACATGATTGTCACTGCAAGCTCTTAAAAAGGTATCTTTGAGACCTGGCCCTGCTTGAGTGGCATAGAAACAGTTGTTTGCAGTGTCCCCGCTGGGAAACAGAAATTCACTACAAATCTCCTCTCCCCTCCTGCCCCTTCCCCAAAATAGTATTGTTCATTCTGGCTGAGTCATCATTGGGCTTTGATACTTTTCAAA